CAACAACAACAACAACAACAACAACAACAACAACACAAACAACAACAACACCAACAACACCAACACGACGACGACGACGACCACCACCACCACCACCACCACCACGACCACCACCACCACCAACACCAACACCGCCGCTACCACCACCAACACCACCAACACCACCACCAACACCACCAACACTAACACCAACACCACCAACACCAACACCAACACCACAACCACCACCACCACTACCAGCAGCAGCAACGCCACCGTCGCCGCCACCATAACACATTTTTTTCTTTTCGTAGTAATAGAAAACCAATGTATCATATACGTACTATGAGTGTGATGGGAGATACGTATTTCCAAGCGATTCTCCAAAATACAGATAGCTGCACGCCTATCATTAGGTAAATGTCATCACAAACTCGATCCGTACCTATATAATATAGATCATCGTTAGTACTGCGTGAAACATTATTAGCAAACATGTTGCATCGCTCTATTATGACATCGCTGCATGGTACCAGGAAACATAATATAACGTAGATCGTAATATAACGTAGATCACTGTAGGTCTACACCACGATGCCGACCTACTTATCCCCATATCATTGAACACACTTCCGCTCATCATTGCAGCAATACAACATAATATAAAAGAGTATTACCCAGATATTTTGGTTGATAAGATTCGGATACCGAAGAGCATATTATCAGGAGTTAATAATGACAAATCCTGATATTATCAATAGTTTCCCAGCAACGATCTTACATGGTTAATTAGGAAAATCTTAGCTAAACAACGGCCGAACTCTCTGTTGGATTATAGATGTAATACGCATGCGCGATGAGAATAGTCAACATACCATACACCCAGTGTAGAGCAACAAACTCTACAATTCCAACTATGACCAATGTGATTCCTCCAACGCTTTCGTCCATGATGTTTAGTACATACATGCCTCCCTAGAAAACCATTTTCTTAAAAATTGCGATATTACAGAGAAGAATCACAATCCACACACGCACAAACTAATACGCGCACACACACGCACATACACACACGCACACACACACACACACACCCACACACACACACACACACACACACACACACACACACACACACACACACACACACACACACACACACACACACACACACACACCTAGCATAAAGCACACACACACACACCACACACATACCTACAAAACGCACACACACACACACACACACACACACACAACACACACACACAAATCTGTCTGATTTGTATGGACAATTAAACTGAATTCTAACTATTTTTCTTGTAAATTTAACACTTTTTAAGACTATTGTATGCCTTTTTAAAATTTAAATGTATATTCGCAAGGCTTCATAAGAATAGCGGTCCACATAATATAAAAAATTTGTATGGTAGGTTAGTGTCGGTCGCTATATATCCATATTAATTAACTTAATATTCTCTATTAAAACAAATGAACCAGAGTTTGATTAACTTTCTCATGCAGTATTTGCCTTTATACTTACTAAAAAGTAATTCTCCGCCGGTGTAAGCACTGTGTCACTATCATTTGTTTTTGAGTAGTGTTCTCAGAGCATTGTCAGTATTCCATTCATTACCACAATTAGTCCATGGCACTCCGCCTTCATGGAAGGCAAAAAGTACGTGGTAATGAATGCCAATAGGCGACGATGAGCGTTTGATAGTAGAGTAACATCGCCAGTTGACAAGATGTGGACGCTACTCTAATCCTGATAAATAAACAACATTAAAAAGAATATCAATTGACGCTTCCTGTAAACACATGTTACGGTCACTCAATTGTTATAACTTCAACAGAGTAAAAGCACGAGTTCGTACAAAAGGAATCGTATTATTCATGATCTACTCATTCGCGTCAAGTGGTTACTAAATACATAAGACCGAAAACAATATCATGCCCTGCTGGGTAGAACTTCGATTGCCTATAATTCGATTTTTTTAGAGGAAATTTTGATATATATTCTCGTGATTAATTTAATATTTTGAATGAAATCGGTAGTCGTTCGTTCTTTTTGTTTTTATAATCTCATGTTTATGGTTCAAGAATATTATTATACTCGATAGTGCTGTGAACGTAAAGATAGAAGCATCTGACAAGCTGAACAACTTTCCTTATCAAAAGTTTCCTATCAAAAATTTCCTATCAAAATTTTCTATATACTGAAAAAATCAATCCCGTCGAAGTTGTGTATTTTCTATTGAAGTACGTCACATTGGGATGCCGAACAAATATGGCCTCTGTACGATATAATTCCTGACGCTTTCCATTACGAACGAGAGTAATATTATACCACAGTAGCTGCTAGTTACTAGCGTACGTAGTGATATTGATTGTGACGGGACGTTTTAGTTAACCGATAGCCATTTATGTTTGGCTGTAGACAGTTAATAAATATAATTACTCGAACATAGACACAATACAATAAAATATACTTGACTAATCAAATATTAGGCACTAGTATTATAGTAGCATTTGGTTTACGGCTGAAACTTCTTGATAGCCCCTCATGCAGGGGGTGGTGCATGACTTTGATGTTTTGATACCAACACCATAGAACCTCTAATACTGGTTCAAGGGCAGGCTTACGCTCTGCGGCTTTTAATTCGTGACGATGTTGTATCATGCATCAACATCATTATCTGTCTATCTAGCCGTAACACTGTATTACGCATGTTGATACAGACTTCTAGACTACAGACCCCTGTAAGGTGCGCCCGTCCCCGACGCCCACCCAAGACAGATTGAAACCTTCCGTCAGCTAACCCGTAACTATGTATTGCTGAATGTAAAACGTAATGTGAAATGTAATTTCGTCACACTCTGGCATCCGCTGAGTTGTGCATTGTTTTATTTACATTTTAATTCAACACTGAACGACCTTACAAGAACACGGCGTCGCGAAACAGCCACAGTTCTGGACGCTAGAAGTACAGTGCACTGTTTAAATCTCATGATAATATCTCAGATTATTATCTCATGATAAATATCATGTTACGTAAACGGTTAGCATTTTAATGTTTAGATTTCCGCTGCAGTCATCGACAGCCGACACAGTGTAATTTAAACCAACGGAACAATGTAATATATGTAATTACCGAACTGTAATCTTATAACGTTTTACCTTTAAATAAAGAGGAGTGACTTTCTTCCATATGCTTGCTGGTCGCAAGACTAGCAGACTGACCTAGTTGAGATCTCCATGAGAAAGATTGGTATTTCAATAAGTATCATCGTTATGACAGTATGGTATTAATGAAGCAAGCTGGTTTGTAACAAGCATGCTTCATTACTAACTAATTCCATAATTATATTAATCATTCGCTTATGATTTTATAAAATACGTTTATGACTTCATGATTATGACTGTTAAAATATAATGTAACAGCACTGGGAGATATGAAAGTCAAACACTGCGAGGTGGAGATAATGACTAATACAAACAATTACCATATTTTCGTACACTCTTACTCCATGATATATAGATTTCATCGCTGGTAGCGTACTTATATACTTAAAATGCTTTATATACGCCAGCGCTTTGTCGTCGGTATTAAATATTGCTAGGTTAACAATTTTAGGTTTTTTAGGTTTTAGGTTTATTTTACTTTGTGTTTCTGGGAGACTTATCACGACGTATGACATTGGCGAATTAAAATGCTCGAATAACGTGGGCGTATATATAGAGGTTGTTTTTGCACACGATGCTTTAAATGTCGAGATTTCTTTAGCGGATATATACTAGCACGCAGTGCATACACAGTCAGTCATAAATATATTCAGATCATAGTTCAATGACAATATGAGTTTAAGTGTTATAGGATTATGACAGAAATCAAGGCTAAGCGTGTTGGCTGTAATTTATTTGTGAGAGAGTGGTAAAAGCAGTAGTGGCTAACGTAGGCTCCTATTTTGTATTCTTATCGTTTAATGTTTTTAGCTTTAATTTGTTTTTGATCTAAGACTGATTGCGAATGATGCACGCACTTAGCAAATACGCCTACATTATAATGTTTTCTTGTTTCCATACATACAGGGTGTAATGTTGTCTGGTACAGCCCCGCCGGTCTTGCAAAAGCCCCTACGGTAAAAAACCTTGCACTTCGGTTGGGGTCAAACCAAGCTTCGAGTGCTATTTGTATATTCGCTCCACTTAGCCTGTTTGTACCAGAGAGCTAAATTTAAATCGACAATAAATGGCTAATTAGAGCATGATTGTAATGCTTTATGTGGATTAATTTCACTCGCCTATGGACTATTAACTATATAGTTAGAGACGATAATTACTATAAGTCAATACGCACAGTGAGAACACTGGCTCACCGTCGCACCGTATTCATTCACTCTTGTCACGTGTGACGAGGCGATATGTTTGGTTGAAGGGTGTATAAGTTGAGTGGACGTGATTTAGCCGCTGATGTTGGTAAGGCCGTTTGTGGAGATGGGGAACAACGTACGGATCTATAATGAACGAGGGATCGACGTTAGAGTCATAGGCGATCATCTCTATATACCCCTCGTAGATACCAGGACTGTCCGTTGTGTTTACGCAAATTACTCACCTCCACCGTTTTTATTACCAACGTAAGGAAAGCGCCAAACATTTCCTAATCCGATTGCATACTGAGCAACACACGGTGAGAAAGATACTCAGCTTGATTCCCCGCACGATGGCGCTTTCGTAATTCTAAACATTAAACGCATAAATAAAACCAACGACTATAAATTGAAATAGAATTAGGTTTTTGCCAACAGGACCACATTATTATTAGCGTCGATTCGGAGATTGAACCTTCTTTATTTACCATACTCATCGAAGGCCTTGTGGATTTAGTGTAGACTGTCACCAGGACAGGTCTCAGTGCGCACTCATAAAACTCGATTATCACAGAAATGTATTAAGGTAGCGTCTGGTTACTTGACAGGTATTCACAATCTCTTTAGAATTCACATACATTGGCCCAGTCTATTTTTATCATATAAATTACGCAAACTCATTCTAGAATTGTTTTTGCTTTGGTCACGATTGTGCACACAGTAGCCTGTACAAAACACACGCGTACAATTACGGAAGAAATTGATCTTGATCGCTTAACACATTGAAATTGATTAAGACATTGTACGTGGATAACCATACGCTTTGATCCTAATAAAAGCATCACATTATCAGCCTTTCGACTCTTATTTATTATGGAAGATTTCCTGTTATACGTACACACAACACACCACACGAGCATAATGCTGATGTAGTCATAGACAGTGAACAGCAACTTCGTAAAACAAGCCATTAATCATAATTGATAAGAATGGCTGGGGTTAGACGGTTAATTCTATATTTCAGGCACCAGGCATGATAAACACAGTCGGCTGTGATGATTAATCATGCCCGTTATCTTACAAGACAGATGAAGTTGCGAGCATTTGCGAAAAATTAAGGGAAATTACGTATTCTTTCACTTCACCTTTTTCTTTCACAGCAAACCTATACTGTATGGCATACTAAACGACTCATTGCTGCCCCCTATGAACCTTCGGATCGTAAAATGATTATGGATGAATCGTAGAAGAGATAGGCACTCAATACGAACATCATTGAAGACATAGATCAGGATATAACAGAAAGGCGCATATAGGTTCGGTTCATTGTCTCGATATGAACATCTACAGTAATTTGGCATCGATTGAATCGCAATGTTTTACCTTCTCCTCACCGTAACGTGGCCCGTGACGAATTACATGTTCTCTGATACGCACCCTGTTCAGCCACTTCAGATATATCAACGCCTTTCCACTTTGCCATGAATTCCAACACTGAGATTATCACAAAACCAGCGTAGATACTTGTCGCCAGGCTTATTAACGGAATGGCGATAGCGTCCCTGCATGAATTGAAAGAAAATTTAGTTACAGTTGATATGATGTGGAAATTAGGACCGTATCTTAGTAAATAACTATATCCATTGAAAGTTATGCTATTAAAAGAATTAAAATATTTATAACACCAATAATTGAATCTAAGCGAAAAACTTTTGTAGAGTGTCAAACTAGTGATGAAATTTTAACACCTCTGATTATATTATTAGTTAACAAATAAATTAAATACTTACCTCCTCACATTATTATTAAAGTTACTGTAGCTTGACATAGCGATGAGACCACCAGTACATGAGCTGAGAGCGAAAAATGTCTGAACAGCTGCATCTCGCCATACCTGTTGATTATAATAAATTAATTATAATAATTTAGCATAATTACTTATCATATAAGATCACAAATAATACGAACCAAATGCAATATACCATTTAAATTACACTAAAACATGTCATTTGGGTAATTACCAAAATGTCTAGTGCTGTCACATAAAAATGTCTAATTCATGACATTGTACTCCTGATATCGTTATAATTAAAAGTTTCATAACCTTGGTTGTAAGTTGAGAAATCTTTATCTTCAATGCCGTCTTCGATACAAACACTCATCTTCTCCTTCATCACGCCCTCGTTTTTTGTCCCTGTTTATTATCACCCTACGTTCATCTCTGCTTAAATGTCTTACATCTACCTCTAATAAAACTAATCAATCACAGGTTACCCTCACCCACAACCCCCTGCACTTACCCCCCTGCAACAATATGATCACTAAATATTATTAACCAACCCTTGCTATAGGTTATTACGTATAGTAACATGCTCACTTGTACATTAAGGAGTTGAGACCAGTCAGGATTGAGGTAATATATGATACCATCAATGGCTCCATCTAGCAGCATACCGTTAATGAGAAGAGCGGTCAACACGATGTAGGGGAAAACAGCTACGAAGTACACAACCTAGTGCAAACATGAATTACATCTAAGGGATACAATTTTACGCTTTTTCCTCCCTACAAGTAAGCATAGTCACGTGTTCAAACATACATATAAACAGTTATGTAATCGCCCACGAAATGCCGACTTCTACCGTTATACATTATATTTAATGCGTGACATTCTATAGCGTATCGAATCCATATTCGTGTTTTACTGAAATATTCAAGTCATACCTTTCCTAGAGATGAAACTCCTTTTATGAGAACTAGGAATACAATAACCCACGCAGCGGCTAATGTTGCCACCAATTCCGGTTGTAATCCCCCTGGCTCGTCGATACCATCCGAAATATCTAAAATTTTGTTGCTTCAAAATTACAAATGGATAAATAAATTAGTACAGAATTAGCCTGTTCTCAAGTAAGATTTTACGACACATACAGACACACCATGCACACGTACACACGCACACGCATCCGCACACACACACGCACGCACATACACACACACGCACATACATACACACACACGCACACACCTACAAACACACACACACACACACACACACACACACACACACA